AAAAAAAAAAAAAGCAAGACCAATAGCAGATTTCAAAAAGTTGTTATTTTCACAGCTATGATTTCAATTATATGACTAAACCATCTGGTTTTGTGTGTTGACAGCCCGACACTTCTTGCATCAAATTATCACGGGTATGCTGTACCTTCATTCTCATGGAATACTGCACCGGGACCTCACCCTTTCTAATATCTTACTCACCAATAATATGAATGTCAAGATTGCTGATTTTGGGCTAGCAACTCAGCTGAAAATGCCTCATGAAAAGCATTACACCATGTGTGGAACTCCAAATTACATTTCTCCAGAGATAGCCACAAGGAGTCCACATGGACTTGAATCTGATGTGTGGTCTTTGGGCTGTATGTTTTACACTCTTCTTATTGGAAAGCCACCTTTTGACACCGACACAGTCAAGAACACGCTGAATAAAGTAGTATTAGCAGATTATGAAATGCCAGCCTTTTTATCGAGAGAGGCGCAAGACCTTATACATAGGTTACTTCGCAAAAATCCGGCAGATCGTTTGAGTCTTTCCTCAGTGTTGGATCATCCTTTTATGGCCAGGTGTAGCTCTGCACGGAGTAAAGATTCGGGAACTTCAGAAGATTCCATGGACAGTGGAAATGCTACCATCTCTACAACCTTCACAGGCTCTTCCAGCATCAGTACCAGTGGTTGCTTGAAGGAAAAGAAGAAGCTGTTGGTTGGACAGCCGCTCCCAAATAAAATCACTTTTTTTCCTAAAAACAAGAATTCCAGTAATACTTCATCCGTAGATGGAAGCGGTTCTTTTCATCAGTGGGGAATTCGGGGAAAAGAGACTGGCATAACTGGCAGGGGAAGAACCGTGCAACTGGCTGAAGAGAGACCGCATTCACGCTACCTCCGAAGAGCCCACTCTTCAGATAGGTCTGGCACATCCCATAGCCAGCCTCAAGGCATACTGAATGTTGTTGAGAGATGTCACTCTATGGAACTGCTTTCGAAGCCTAAAGTAGGAACAAGGGAAAATACAGAGTACTTTTCACCTGCGAACAGCTATACTGATATAGGAGAAATATTTAAGGAGAAGACTTCTAGTAGTTCTGGTTCCTTTGAAGGACAAATATCTCCACCTGTAAAAGATCAACCACAGTAAGAATCAGTTTTTATTAAGGTGAAATTTAGAGCTGGCTTACAGGAAAAAATAATGCATTTAACATATAACTAAGCTGTAGTAAGTGCCACAAGGATCTACGCTTGTCGCATGCGTACCAAATAGGAGAGGGTGATAGTTGATGCTGTTGTATGTAGAGGTTTACCTCCCCGCTGTCCCTGTCATAAAGTTCATAGATGCAACGCATCTGCTAGCTAGATCATCGCTTGTATTTATCCTGGTATCCCCCATTACTGACTTATTTCCATGTGCAGCAAGTTGAGTACTTCTTCCCCTGGCAGTAATTTTAGTAGAGGGCCTTGCTAATTGTTCTTTGTACAAGAGACTGGGGTAGAAGGCATTCTGCGTGATTACTGATTTTTCCATCAGTACAGCAGGATATTGAAGAAAGAACTCTTTCCTATTTTAAGATAAGGACGTTGTGTATCTCAGTTCTTGCATTGCTCTTCACATTAAGAAGTGCCAACTTTATGTGATGGTTTCGGATGTTCTTATTTTTGCAAAACAGTTCAGGGAATATGCAAATGAACACTGT